CCAAGGTACGTACCGGAAGCCTTGAAAAGCCTAAACAAAAGGGTACCTGGGTACCTTAAAAGCTCATTCGGATTTAGGGTCGGATTCAGAAAAATAATCCAAGATTTGGGCTCGCATTCCGTAAAATAATTGCATATTTTGAGCATTCGGAATCATACCTTGGTAGTACGGTAAGGGCCTTTGTCGCTGCCGGTCTGACCTAGCACAAGCCTGGACGGCTGCGCGACCATCAGTATAGCTGCAACCGCGCAATACTATGATACTACGTACAAAGCTAGCGGGGTGCTTATCGACATATAAAGTTTAGTGCGCCAGGCCCATCATGACATTCCAACTCGACCTTTTTGAATGCCTGAGTGATGTTAACCCCTTGATTATTGCCGTCTTTGTGGATACGATCCGATTTGCTGTGCACTATTGAAGGCCCCGCCAGGCTGCCGCGCCGCAAGCCTTGAAGATATTCAGCGTCACACTGATATAGATCAATCATGTCAGTTTTTGATTGAATGAAAGGTTCACGTCTTGACATCATATTCAGTCCACACCGAATTCTAGGATTGCGTCCAGTCAGTTTCCACGTAAGGAGCCAGCCGACCAGGCTCTGGCACGGCGTGCCAGCACGTACAAACGCGAGCATGAAGAATTTTCAAGTTTCGAAGCGACAATTGAATCATGCAACCACCTAGCTCGATCAGTGCCACGCATACGGTTGAAATCTAGTGGCATGCACACGATTGAAATCTGCTGGGTTGGCAGCCTAGCTGATCATATCTAGCTGCCCGGGCGTTAGGTTCAAAATCAATTCAAACATTGAATGTCATGAAAGCCAATGGCCCGTATGGCTACGGCGATTCGGAAAATCAATTTAACTTGCCGGAGTTGCTAGTTAAGTTAGCAACCGGCGTCTTAGTGATCTTCTGGTGAGTACGTCCGTGGCAGACACGCAATTAGACTAGAGCCTGGACTTGAGCTGGCGGCTCATGCGGCAACATAAACATTTACAACCCGTTAGGGGTTGCAACACGAGGGGCTTTGGCTTGCATATTATGTTGCACAATTTCGTGAGCATATATCTTGCGGTGGTGGCTCAGGAAGGCACAGCGCTATTTACACGTCATGCACTGGCACGGGCACGTCACAAAGACCGGGGACGTCTCGATCGACTTGACATCATTCAACAAAGTGCTTGCACTCATGCTTGCAAGCTAATTAACGTCAGCACCATAGAAACTGCAACGACCCTCAAGACAGTCCGCTTACATGACACGCGACAGCTGCAATCCATCCCATGTACATCAGGACAGGGAGCTAGAATGAAGCAACCTGGCCTTGACTGTCCCATCCAAAGGTGGACACATGACAGACCAGCCATCAGGAGGTTTCGTTACACGGCTCCATCGGTCTCCTGGCTATCTTGCCGAGAAGAAGTTGCTAGAGTCACCCACTCCCGCTGGTACGTGTCGAAGTCAAGACCTGCGATAGATCGGCAAAGGCTTTATAACCAGTCTAGAATTCATGCGAGCACTGAGATACAGGTATCTGTCTCTTTCGTAGTATTCCTTGCTGGACATTTATTTTCCGAACACGCCTATTCCCAGGCTAGGTGATCTTGCAAACTGCTCGGAAGACTTTCACAAATTTCCCCCTAGTCACAGGCATACCATCCTGCCAGCTTTCGCACAAGCAGGAACGGGCCACGGTTTCCGCACTTCCTGGTAATTCCTCCAAGGACGAGAGTCCTCTTTAGTCCTGTTTACAATCAGGCCTACACCGGACATGCCAGAGCCGGCACGTCTGGTCATCTGACTGTGCTAGTGCTCAAATATGAGGAAGTAGAAATGAGTCAGCTCACCTGTAGTCCAGCTAAGTAAGTCACAATCTTCAGAGTCCCCTTCGGCCGCAGAAACGTCATCGCCCGGGGGACCGGAATCATCCGTTCCGAAATCTGATGCTTCTCGTCCTGATTTATACCTGGACACGTAAAATCCAAACAATTTGTTGTTGCGAACCAGAATATCAGCTTTCCGCTTGTCCGCGGAAATTTGGCAGCTACCGTCATGCTATCAGATTGTTTTCAACCAATTGATCCGCCTTTGCCAAAGGTATTCCACCGTGATCAGGATCGAGCTTTGATCGACGAAAAACATTCGCGCACATACTCTTCTAATTTTGCTTCGACCAGCGGCCTCAAATCCGCTTGGTCAAATCTGTACCTTCCTGGTTTCTCTTACAGGCGACAGAGCTCTGGAACGTGTCAGTCTGCACACCCGTGACCGACCCAACTCGTCATATCTGACAATGCGAAACGACTTCGTTAAGAGGAACTTACATCTGCTGGAACCATTCTAACTTTTTCCGTCGAGCGAGCTGCTCCAGGTCTTCCCGCCGCTTTAGTTTGGAGTAATGGAACGGTCGCCTGCAGGGAGTGATAGTCAGATAGTTCTGATACCGGTGGAAAGCAATCCTTAAATCTTCTTTTTTTCGGAACAACACGTACGTTACATAATTAGAGTACTGCTCAGAAACGCTGGGTTTTGTCTTACGTCTGGTCCATAAGTCGTCTCGTGCGTGAGGCATCGTTGCTTACAGAATGCGCACATACGGGTTCAGAAGACCAAATGACCATACGTTGCGACCCCTTCAACGAAGCCTGTGAAATCTGCTTCCCGCTGACGACCTGAATATCGAAACAAGGAAAGCGACCAGAAACGACGAGAGACAATTGTGGATAAGGGTTGCCAGTCTTGACAGTAGCGCCGATCAGACGAACTTTGTTTCGATTCAGACTTCGGATCCGCAAGGCCAATCAATATCCGGCTCGCTCCCGACCACAGAAAAATCCCCAGAAGTCTTGCGGTACGTTGCTTTCCGTTCCACTTTGAGCCGCACGAAGCATCGCTTTCCTCAGCAATCAGTCTTCCCTTTGATTTCGCCGGTGCGTCGGCAAAAGCTGCAGGGACTATCCGATATGTGGACCGATATCCGAAAACTAGACCGACTTTCGCTCTGGACCCGAAGTTGCGCTAGCGGTGAGCACAAAGCAAATAAATTTAGAAGCTCACCGTACGGCCGCGGTGCGCACGGTAACTGGGTCCACCGGTTGGAGCAACCGCTCGGCAACCGGGCGCCAGCCGTTGTTCTCCCACCTCAGGTACCAGTCTTCTTCCTCCCCCCCCGACTGCTTTCGCGTGCCCGGTTGGCGCTTGCCCCGCCTCTGGGACAGGGCGGCGTAGTCCCGGGGGCAGAAGGAGCAGACGTCGGTGACTGGCCGGTGCGTGTAGATCTTGTAGAAGACCTGCGCGGCGGGATTATTCGCTGTTCAACTATGAGAATAACAGACCGCTTTTGGACACACCAATTAGTGGTGCTCTTCTCCCCCAATTGGCTCAAAGCTTTGCGCCGCCCGACAGTTAACCTGAAGTGCTATATTGCCGATGCGGTAACACCGCAAACGAGGACCTTGCTGATCAAGCTGCACGGATCTGATTGGTGTATCGAGACAAGCCGGATATACAATCAAACGAAATGTCGAAAATCAGGCTTGAGACCGTGTGCACGAACTAGCAGTGAGAAAACAGCTGACTTGATTTGGAACCGTGCCTGCTAACTTGTCGCACGCCTCTGCAAGGATCAAGGTTTCCGTAAATTGCTGAACTGAAGCGGGTGCAGTCCTTCCCCGAACACCGAGTTTTCTGCCCTCGACGCAAGCCAAGAGATCCGGAGACCAGACGCACACCAGACGTTGTAAGAGCGCAGGGTTTTCCTCTCGAGCTGAGCTTACGAGTGCCTATCTAAAAGCGGACCGGTGGGCATCAATGAATCGGCCTCTCGGCGATGAACGTGTGCATTGGGCACATGCGGAAAAGGAAGAAGATGAAGACAGAAAACCAAGTAGAGAAGAACACGGAGGAACAGAAGAAAGAGAGAAGGAACGAAAATTACTCACCATAGGAGGGAAAGTATCTCCGCCCAGCCGGAATCGGACGTGGAGGCCAGCCGCAGCTTCCGCGTATCTGGCCTGCGAACCAAGGTTGAAGGGGTTTGTGGTAAACCCCAGAAAAGTCGTACGTGTTCTCTTCTCTCGCTTCAGTCAGATCCTCAAACTTTTGGGCTCCCCAAGGTCAAGTCAGGAGGTCAACGCGTTGAGTGAAAGGAAGATAGTGGAAGAAAAGAAGAACGGGGTCGTTCAGCAGCTCTGCTTACAAGGATGTTTTGCACCTAAGCAGCTATGGTTGAGGTTTTTTAACCAGCTGTAAAACGGCTTCTTTGATAGAAGGGCATCTAACCGAGGTCTAAGCAGGCTTAGTTAACAGCGGTATTTCCGAAGTGGTTCATATGCATCGAAACTCAAGAATTACTCTCGTGTGGAGCATGTAGATCCAACAATTCTTGACACTAGGCGGTTCAGACGCTGCTTTTCCCGTTGGCAACCCCTTCTCTGCGCGCTAGAACACTTAAAACCGTTTATCAAATGTGAAATACCGATGGAAGGTGGCGTCAGCGAAACACGCGGTAAGCGAACGCAATCGGCTTTGAACCAGACACGGAAAGACTGGCAACGCACACTGATATGAAAATCCGACCTTCTTGACTCCATCAGCCCGTAAGTACAAGGGGCGAGCTGATGTTACAAACCTTACCTCTGTGGGGTTGATCGAGCGCAGGAGCAGTGCTGGGTCACCCCTTTCTCGGAATCTGATAAGGTCCCGGAAGTATCGGTAGACTTTTCTGTTCTGCACAAAATCGAGAGCAATGGTAAAGCTGGCAGCTAAAGATGGCATGCTGTAAGGACAACCATGCAGTCTGCAGTTCCTCTGGTCCCTCCACGTCAGCAGGCGCCGGGACTAACTTGGCAGAGCTCTCGGGCGGTTTCTCTGCTTTTTTATCGGCTTTTGAGGGCTTCGGTACACTTCTCGGCAAGGACAAAGAAGCGTGCCGTGCGGCGGAAATCAAAGGCTGTGGAGAAGGCTTTCCGCTGTGGCCACCTGATTCGAATCATTTCGGAGTAGTATCGGGAAAGAACGATTAAAGAGGGCGCATCATCGCAGTGGCCGTGAACGTCAGCACCGGTCACCGCTTAGCAGTATGTCGAGCTTGGGGACACAAACCGGGACAATCTGTCATTCGGCGACAGGTGAGCAGAGCGACCCTGCTGACCAGTCGCTCTGTGAAGCCAATTCAAATGCGTGTCCATACCTTCTTTTCGAAGCGTCTGCATGCAATTTCCATCTTTGTGTGCGCGGTTCGACGTGTCCCTTCCTGAATAATGGACGTTCTCAAATGTGCCCCACTGACCTGGAGAATCATCGTACCATCAAAACAACACGTCTGGGGTTTCGAAGAAGAATCATCTAACGAGTGCCAGATGCATACTTACCCAGTAAGACTTCCAAGCTCGCTGCAGCTTCTTGACGGCTATGTCCCTGCCAGGCGACTCTGGCATGCTGAAGTCCTTCCGTGCCATGTTGCCGCTCGTCACATCAGGCAGAACGTCTGCAATCGAGAAGGGGCTCGTTATCACATGAATGTAGTTACGGGAGTGGATCTCCGTCCAACTCAAAAGAATCTGATTTGAGACGGAGGATCTTTTGCGGACTGTCAATCTGCTTTCGCTTTTGCGGTGTCTCAACATCTGAAAGGCAGGCTCTGAGGTTCGTATTTCAATGATCTTCTCCCGGAAGAGAGGCTGCTTTGAAATGGAGCATCTTTCGCGGACTGTCAAGCTGCTTTCGCTTATCAAGCTGTCTCAACATCTGAAAGCATGTACTGAGGTTCTTAGTTCCCTGTTCTCCTTCAGGATGAGAGCTGCCCTCTCCGAGGGTGTGCTGCCGACAAACTCTCGGAGGCACCCTTCTTCAGCCTTTGGTACCTCCGAACGGGTAGCAATTGAGTTGCTTGTCCTCCGTTCCTCAAAGATCTTTGCAGTGACAATCCAATCTACTGACCAACACGGTTACAGCCCCCAATCGAGCTTCGAAGATGGGCTGCTCCGTCAAGATTTGGCTGGTTGTAGACTAACCGGGGGCAAAGATTAGCCTTTCAAAGCTCAGATTGGAACTTCAAACAAAGTATTCTCGCGGCGCAACAGTTTAAGAAGATGGTACGTCACAAGAAGACTCGCCGAAGATGCCAGGGAAAAAGGCCACGGCCGAATGCTGTTGCGCTCAGAACACTTCCTGGTAAGGTGCAACTAGTAATCACATGTTTCTCACGCTATCGTCTTTGGGCTGTCGGGCCCACATTGAGGATTAGCTTTTCAGCATACCTTGCCGCGTGCTTAGAGGCCTGAGCCCACTCAAGGCGCATGCGTGTCGTCCTTCGCTGGAGGCGTCAGAAGTCTCCAGGCTCAGCTATGTCTCCGAATAAGCAGCAGGGACGTGGCGTGGGTGCGAGCGTCGCCGCAGGAAACCACCAGCGTGCGGAGGTGGCTACCAATTATTCGCGGCATTGCTACACAACGTCTGGAAAGAGAAACAAATCAATCATACATGATCTCATTGAATCATTATATAGAATAACAAAATTAGTAACCGAGTTCCATCTCCCGAGATCCGACCAACTGCTTTCCTCTCTGCAAAGCTCACCATGTAAAGTTACATCATGGGCAACTTTCGGAGAGAACGTAGTATGCGTCAAGCTTTTGCATGATGGACTGCAGGAGCTCTGACTGACTATCTGAACACTGGAGCAATGCTGCAAAGAGCGTGCCAGGTGTCAGCACGGGATGACCTGCTGTTAACCAAGCCTGGTTAGACCTCGTTTAGATGCCCTTCTACTAAGGGCCTACTAGTCATCCTGGTTAGAAGCTGGTCAGAAACCTTTCCCTGTAGCTGGGTAGGAGGAGAATCTCCATGTGCAAAGCAAAGATAAGCCTGCTGCCGGCAGACAAAGCAGCTGGCCCAAGTAACCACTCGCTTACGTCACAGCTAGGTGCAGAAACCGGCCAAGAAGCAGCCCCGCCCTTTCCATGCTTTTCCAGTTTCCAAGCACGAGGACAGTTTTGACCAGAGGGAACACAAGCAGGAGGCAAACACTTGAATTTTGCTCTCTGCCTAAATTGAAGTCAATCTGTTCCCTTTTAAATCTACAGAGCCTTTTCAAACAACTTGAGCACTTGTAGAGCCGGGGTTCTCACCAGATGGTCAGTAAAAGGAGAACAACAGCGTACGTCAAATCTCTCGGCCACGTGTGCTCGGAGTCAGATCCTTGAGACCTGCTGCCGCCAGTAGCCCCTGAAAAGAGAAAATATAGAGCACCTCAGACTCTGTCCCTGCAAGCAGACCAATGGCCACGAGCTTGTTACCAGCGATGAGGGGAGTTCTGCCCTACTAGCAAGACGAGACTCGTGTAGCTAAACCATTAGGCTAGACTGAAGGACCAGGAGCTTCCAATGTTGTCGACAGCGCGGCTGGCGTGCGCACTCAACTTGTTGACGCGAGAAAGAAAGCTGCCCCAAACTTTAACAAAGCCCCACGCAAGTTGAAGAACTACAGCAGACTGAAAGGACAACAATCTCAGGATAGCAGAACAGGGCCTTACACCTTCATTGACAAGCGCGGAACGCATGCTCCAAATGCCCTGCTTGCCAGTGCCTCTCAGGAAAGCTGCCCGAAACCAAAAGAACTGGGGCGGCCACAGGAAGGGCACGCCCCGTGAACAAGACCGTAGCAGCCAGAAGGCACGCTGCCAAACCCAAGAAGCAACCTAAGTAATGGAACCCAAATCAGAGGAACAACAGTCCCAGGATAGCAGAACAGGGCCTTACATCTTCATTTGACAAGCGCGGAACGCATGCTCCGAATGCCCTGCTTGCCAGTGCTTTTCGGAAAAGTTGCCCCAAACTAACAATAGGGAATTTCCTTAGGAGGGGCATGACCCATGAACAAAAGTACAGCAACCTCAGGGCAAGCTCTCATCCAAGAAGCAACCTAAGTACTGGATTAGACCTGAACAGACCAGAGGAACAGCATTCCCAGGATAGCAGAACAGGGCCTTACACCTTCATTGACAAGCGCGGAACGCATGCTCCAAATGCCCTGCTTGCCAGTGCCTCTCGGGAAAGCTGCAACGAACTGAAAGAACTGGGGCGGCCACAGGAAGGGCACGCCCCATGCACAAGACCGCAGCAGCCGCAATGCAAGCTGTCAAACCGAAGAAGCAACTAACCATCATAACGAGCTAGACCTGACCAAAGTATAGGAGCGACAGTCCCAGGATCGCAGAACAGGGCCTTACATCTTCGTCGACAAGCGCGGAACGCATGCTCCGAATGCCCTGCTTGCCAGTGCCTCTCGGGAGAGCTGCCCCAAACTAGAGAAGGGGGAATCCACAGATTGTGAACTCCGAAGAACAAAACCGCAGGAATTGCAAGGGAAGGTGCCAAATTTTAAAAGCAACCAACGTAACTAGCTGGATCTGACTAAAGCAGAGGTGACATCAGTCCCAGGATAGCAGAACAGGGCCTTATATCCTCATCGACAAGCGCGGAACGCATGCTCTGAACGCCCTGCTAGCCAGTGCCTTTCGGGAAAGCTTCCCCCAACCAAGAGAACAGGGGCGGCCACAGGAAAAGCACGCCCCATGAACAAAATCAAAACAGGCGCAAGGCAAACTGTAAATCCCAATAACTGGTTAAGTCAAGTAACAAGCTGAACCCAACCAAAGCAGAGGAACAACAGTCCCAGGATAGCAGAACAGGGCCGTACATCCTCATCGACAAGCGCGGAACGCATGCTCTGAACGCCATGCTTGCCAGTGCCTCTCGGGAAAGCTGCCCCAAACCAAGAGAACAGGGGCACTTGCAAGAAAGGAACGGAACACCAGAGCAGCCTAACAAAAGCAGTCAAGTCAAGAATGAGCAGCTATCTAAGACGAGCTGGAATTGACTAAACGGGACAAGAACCTGAGGACTCTAGTTTCTGAACTTTACATTGACTTCGTTGCGAGATGCGTCAGATGTTCTATCTGCAAATAACTTTCTAAAAAACTTCCCCGAACAAGACGAGGCGCAAGATTGAAAGTAGCCCAAACCTGACAAACCTGGGCCAGAGTCTGAGGTGCTCACCTCTGCAATGTCGCTGGTGCAGTTCAAAAATTTGCGCACTCTTGAACCGTCGTCGACTTCTAGCTAGAAGAGTGCGCGCCCTTAACTGTCTTCCAGTGCAAAGTAACTAGCATCTCCACCGAAAACTCTGCTCAACATGGGAGGCCTTCTGTTCCAACGGCGTGCGAGAGAGAGCTTTTCCACCGCCGTTCCTCCTGATCTAGCTGACGCACCTGGGAATGCAAAGGAGGAGCTGGGAGGGCCGCAAACTTGAACCTCGGCAGCGCCGGCACACTCCGCGACATCCTACTAGCAGATACTGAGATATAGTCAAAAAGTAGAGTTGTGAAGCTGCAGGTCGCCCAGGGCCAGGGCAGCCAGGGCCAAGGCGATCTGGCTGGCGCCGTGGCGGCGGGCAACCGTCCACAGCACATGGTCTGCGCGCGCACGACTGTGGCGCCTTCAGCTACGGTGTATATACTATAATACTACAAAATTCACCTCTATTAAAAGCGAATGGCTTTCCGGTATTGTTCCATTCACACGCCTTGTAGTTTACATTATTATATCGTGATTAGTGACGTGGACCCAACGGATGCAGCGATTGAGTTAAAAATTGACCCGTTTGAATAAATTCCAGCACAAACCTCGAAAGTCTGGCCGCTTATGTCAAACTTGAGAAGAATTTTCACCGCCAAGAACTGGCAAACTTGCTTGAAGTTGAAGACAGCGCTTCTTCCTCCCAATTTCAACTTCCAAGTTTCAAGTTCCACGGTTCCACCTCGAGGAAGAACGCAATGTGCCCCCGGTGAGCCTGCATGAGGCCAGTGAAGGGCTTTCTTGCTCGGGTCTCTTGCTCAGGTTTTGTCCTTGTTGTCTCAAAACGTTTTCATCATGCAGACCGCCGCAGCAAGAGTGCGCTGGCTAAAATGGCAGCTAGGGGTCTTGGACATGGCCCCCAGAAAAGCTCATGGAGGAGGTTGTGCAGCTGCAGGTAAGAGATTCTTTCTAGCAGCATTGTTTTCCTGGTGGTTCACTTGCCTTTCACGGTGGATGCCGGGTGTGTCCGCTTGTCAGTGCCAAGCAAGACAGAGCCGATTGGATGCGAGACGAGGAGTTCTTTGTCGCTCTGTAGACTAGATGTGTACTCTCTGCATACATCAGAATGCCTAGCCGAAGAAAGGAAACTCTCTGTCGCACACTGCGGTGCCACCATCTAGAGACTCAGGAGGGTACCACACCAGCATCTAGAATATCGAGAGGGTGGCGCCAGCATTCCATTGCTATTCGTTGGTATCTTTGTCGGTGAACTCGTTCATTTGATTGCCCAGAAGTTGCTTGGAAGAAAGGGAAGACGGGAATCCAATTTCAAAAGGTTGAGCCACCGCATAACGAGTCTTTTTCTTGGAAAGAAGGCAGCAAGATCCATCGCATTGCGGGGTACTTCTGTGGAGTTTCCTTATTCACTCTGCAACTTCCAACCCCTCCAGTCCATTCCCCTTACACTATGCCGGCGCCATGCCCTACAAAAGGAGTACATCGTGTGCCCCTTAGTCTTTGACGTCACTATTGACGTACAGGCCACCGCACTTGCCGGTGCAAACGGCCAGTGTCAACCCAGGCTGCGGCGCCTAGCGATCCCAGCATTGACGCAACAGCACAATCGACCAGCCCTCTAACCCCTCCGCCACGGCGCCCTTCAAGGCTACCGAGAGCAGAAGTTCTGACGGTCCGTGAAGCACGGCCAGAAGAGTATTGGGAGATCGCTGATACTCATTGTGGGGCGTTCTTTCCGGAAGTAAACCCGGTCCTCGGAGCGATTCTGCGATTGGACAGGTAAGGCTCGGGTGTTCCTGGGGTTTACGGAGGGTGCAGTAATGCCTGCGACGTCCAATGCGTTTCTTTTGTTCTGTCTGTCCGGTCGACCCTACTTTTGAGGGGCATTTGCATCAAGAATGGAACGAGAAGCCTTTTGAGACTGTTCGCACCTGCTCCTGAGGGTTTGGAATCACCAAGGATAAAGGCGGACTCTCATACGTGGATTCTGAACGCTCTTGTAGTAGTGTTTGTGATGCGGGTCTTGATTGCTGCATGTAAGAGGAGGCAAACGGTATCAAAAGGCACCATGCATCTATGTCCTAGACTGCACCCACTTTACCAAAACAGCTGCTTTGATGGATGACACAAACGCGTTCCTTCATCTTTGATGTGCTGTCGTATGAGCACCTCAGGGTTCGAGTTTCAAAGCAAGGCACCAACAAAAGAAACCAACGTTCTGCTGGCAGGCAGCCTGCCATTGGCCAGGACAGCCTTTGGCAGTAGCCGGTTCATAAGACAACTAAGTCTTTTGAGGTTGCTTTTCAACTTTCAAAGTAATATCAGGACTTAGACAAGATTGCCCAACCCTTTTACTGGCTGCAGTGAGACTTTTTCGGTGAATTCGATTTACCAGACACAAAGTCGCCAGCTTGGTCTGTCTCCTTTAGCCACTGAACGTACACACAACACCGTAAGAAAAAAGACATGAGAAGCTGCGCTTCTCGGCACAAAGACATCGTTGGGAAGACAGGACCTGTGTGACCATACCATCAAACCCTTCGGATGATATCTGACATCCAGTGCTCTTGCTTAGGATTCGCCTTAACCATTTGATTTTGTGCCTGCAGGGTCTTCAGCCTAGCAGGGTCCACCGGCGACCCCCGAGACTGTCGGAAGATGGCGCTGGTCGCCCTCGAATCGGGACCCCAGGTGCTGCGCGACGAGTCGTTTGCGTCAGAGTCCCTCTCGGACGTAGCCCCGCTGAGACCGTTTGTCGCAGGTGCGTGCATGAAGGATGTTGAAGCTTCGACAGAAGAACAACTCGACGGGCGTCAAGTGGAGCAGGGTTAATTGGACGGACAACAATCATTTTTCCGCTTATTCCTAACGCTGTCAAGGCCGGGTTGTCCTGTCTCAACCGCTGAACAGATGCAAATTTCTGTACTTGCACACGAATTCCGCGGTTCTAACTTCTGATCACCGGTCACCGCCTCTGAGCAACTGCGGTTTCTCGCATCTGGTTTGTCTTGCGGAATGTTTTGGACAGCTTCTGTCCGTGCAAATTGGGCAAACATGGTGCTTCCTACTCAATGCAACAGCTGGTTGACTGTTCACTGACTTCAACACATCTACGGGCAACCTACAGTTACGCCACACCTCGCTTTTTGTCTGCGCATCCTTGAGTGGAATTCCTTTTCTTCACCTCGTACGTCCATTCAAGGCAGGACAAGCTTCGAACCCGCACCCATAGGCCTTAGGCAACTTGAGAAGAAGGGAACCCTACAAATCGAGCGTTCCTTCCTTAAACGCCTTCCCTTCGCTCCTGCAGTCGCTTCTGCGGGGCTCCCTTTCCCTGGCGAGCTGTTTGGGGGGAGCCAAGTGGGCGAGCGTGGAGTCATTGGCACGTGCACGCTGGACCTCACGGGGGAGTTCCTGCCCCGTCGAAGACCCCGAGGTGCGTCACAAGGGGTTGGTTTTAACTTCTTATGGTGAGGGGTTTCAGGTCAGGACTTGTGCAGTCGTACCGCGTGCGATTACAGGGATTTAAGAGGGAATTGTCTGTGATGTGTACGCTGGACCTCACCGGAGTTTTTTGCCCCCACCAAAGACCACAAGGTGCGTCGCCGAAACCTTGGGGTGTGAAGTGTTATATTCTCGCGACGTCAGGGGTTCATTCGATGCGACGTACGAAATGCGAAGCACCCTGTCCGTTGGGGGGGTTGTCTTGCTGCGTACAAAGAACGCTTAAGTACGTCTGGTATATGTTGTAACCTTCAGGACTCTCATGAAGTGCCTGAGGTATTCTTAGGCTTTCGGTGTTCTAGATCGCTCGACTTCACGAACATAAATTTGCCAGCACAAGATAATGACGTCTTTTCCACGCGGGACCGTTTGTAAAACCAGGTTCCGCTGCCCATTGTTCATTCCGCTGAACGGCCCCCGCGCCCGCCCTTCCGCTTCCGTCCGGTGTTATTACGTTCTTTTGTTTGCAACTTGTGCTGCTTGTTGACGATGAGAAAAGAGAGGGGAGGCTCTTTATGCAGAAAAGTACGACTCCGCTTGCTTGCTGTTCTTCTGTCACTTCCAACTTCGTGGATTAGGAAAGAAGATTGAGGTTAAGGAGACCCGATGAGTGGTGTCAAGTTAGTGAAAGCTGGTTCTTGATAATGTCAAGAAGACCGGGCGCTTTTGCTTCTGCAGCATTTGCTTTGCCTGAGTATGCCTGTAGTTCGTACCATTGAAATTCCTCTGAAAAACGGCTGCTTCAGAAACTAAGGACGGGTTCTGATCTCCCAGGTAAACGGAGGGTCGGCATCGCATACATATCCAACATGGCAGTTAGGTTGCGGCGCCGGCGTCAGGGTGTGGCGCGCTTGTTAGTCCGAAGAGCGGAGGCGATCGCCAAAAATCTTGGTTGTCGATCGATGGCACTCCACGTGGAGGAAAAGAACGTGAGCGCGCGGGCTTTGTACGAGCGCGAAGGATTTAGATTGATCAAAGTCCCAACCGGCGCCGTATGGCCGCAACCGACGCCGCTTGAGGGGCACACGTTAGTCATGATGATGAAGTGGCTTGGGCATCCAAGTTCAGAACCGCCGACTTCAGAGAGCGGTTCTGCTTCGTGAGCATTGTATGCACTCTTGCAGCGACGCTTGAGCACAGCTAGCTGCCTCACAAATTCTTTGTAGAACACATATTGAAGCGACACAGAGGCATCGATTGAAAGTAGGGTTACCAAGTAGATGCGAGGTAAAGATTTGCTGGCACGCGCCAGGACATGCATCCCGCTCAAGTTGGGGATTGTACTCGTTTGAACACGTCAAGTATACAATCATTCACATAAAATGTAACTATCGAAAAGTGACGGTCATCTGGCCGCGTGCAGCGATCTATCAAGGGCCGGCAATGATGAGTCATTGCGCTTCGATCAGAATTGTTCGAACATTAATCTGCCTGGGGCGGGTCATGGCATGCCAATCGCGCCTTTGCTTGCATGAGCCATGCCACTGAGTCTCGTGCACTTCGCGAGCTGTCGATCTGAGTCCGTATTATTAGGCCATTGCATGAATGAAGCTCATGGCATGCGCAATTCTCAACCAGGCGGCATGCATGTGATGCATCCGATGATCCAGGCCAGGCTATACTTGAAAATGCCGACTGGAGATTTTCTGGAAGATTAATCTGTCACGATCGGCCATCGATATATATTGAACTTAGAACTTACAACGATCACGTATCGGTTCTTAGACTCGGAAAAAGTTAGAAAGTTATATGTACGTCCTCACAATACAACCGATGTCGGATCAACTTTTGTGATCAATGCATCCCAATTGACTCGGAAGCTAGGTTAAAATACTATAATGCAGCTGAAACTTGATAGAGTTGCACTGACCATGGTCCATATATATACTGATATTTCCTTGCTATCTTAGCATGCATGAGATCAGGCTCCGTTGGTGTTTTCCAATACGAAAGATCTCTGCACATATTCGATCATACAAAGCGAATTCAATTCAAGATCGAATTTACGGCCCACTGTTGGAGATTTCGCGAACCATACAACTGCTTAAAGCAGTCTGGGGACCTGCTACTAACCCAACGTTTAAATTACGCAAACACCTTGAGGGAAACACCAATCGGTGGGCCTACATGCGGCACGAAAAGGTGCCATAGCGCGGACCGGCGCAGCGCACGAGGGTGTCCCGCACAAGCGGCGGGGCGGTCAACAGTTTGCGAGCTGCCCCAACGCCCGACTCGTCGTCCTTGCCGACCTGTGCACGAGAAATTAGACGCATGGTTAGTAAGGCTTTGGGTCCACGTTAGCTTGATTTCGACTCTACACCTACTTTGTGCACGTGGGAGTCGCGACAGCAGGATGTTGCGCCACAACCGCCCGATTCGAAATCGCTTTCAGAAGACGGAATTGGTTGACCAGGCAAAGGGTCGGAGCTGTTCTAAACACACGAGCGTGCGTTCGACACAAAGCCAGCCTTCGTATTGCACATTCGGTTAAACCTGGCCGCCTGACCAAAGTTCTATTTGAACGGAACGCAGAACTTTGCCCTATGCGCAGAAATTGAACCCTACGATGACCCGGATGCCTTTCATCCAACGGCCTCAGTTATGCGACTCTGGAAAAGTTCTGCGACTGGCTCGATACGGACCCTGGTCTGGCGGCCAGGTTTGCCCAAACCTGCAATAAGCAGAAACGCTGCAACCACCACGGGTCAACAACGAATGTTGCAGGTCGCAACGTACGTCCCGAGCGCCCACCTGACAACTGAAGAGGTCGAAGCTGCAGTCTGCGGACACCAGGTCGGACGCTTCGTACTCGTCGTCCGTGCCTTCCACGTACTCACGGTGGAGCAGCCCCTCCAAGGTGCCCATCGCCAGGCGTTCTTCCACGGCGCCTTCGCGGAACATCTGACCAACGAACTGCGAGAGACATCGTACGACCATCACAAAACGACCCCCTCCAACAAATCGACGCATGAAGGATGGGCAACGAACATCAAATTAGTTTGACACCACAAAGGCACCAAATTTGCTTTAAACGACTGACTGACGCCCAACTGATCCGCGGCTTTTGGTCGTCGAATATGCTTCAGGTTCAATCTGGTGTTGAAATTGTGTCGGTTCGGAATCTGTTGAGCGGCTAACATTATAATTAACAATTTGGTACGGGTATGGTTGGTGCCTTTTAGGCATGCACCAATTGGTCGGGGTGGGGGAGGTTTCTGGTGTCGGATTACAGCCGACTTGAACGGGTCGTATTGAGGAAGGACCCCGTCACAAAGTGCAGGGCACACTTTTCCGTGACGCAGTTCTAGTCGCGAAAGACGATCACTGGTCTAGCGCGGTTACAAGGCGGCGTCCTTTCTCAAGCTGTACACCCTCTGATGCTCCCATCCATTACAGCAATTTTATCTACTAACCGTGGCTGGTTGTGGGCTGGTAAGAAAGTGGTTGATTGTCCATTAACCAGAATCAGGCGGTAACCAGCAAGGCTAAGGCCTTGTTATTCGTCCAATAACCGGAAAAACAGGTCTGGTAAAAGCCTGGTTAGCAACCAAACGTCCTGTGCTTTACTTCAGGGACTTCAGCAAGCTCGACCAGTGGATGTACAAGGCCCCGGCAAGAATACCAGTGTCAGGTCAGCACGGTTGCTTGAGAGAGTAGAGCCTCACCCCATGGACGCTCGGGCCTTGAGTGAACGACTTGATTGCCAGGTTGAGGAACTGCACGGGGGGGTCGGTGAAGAGCTCCTCCTCAAAATCGCGGCTGATCTCCACCTCGAGGAGGCCCTTAAGGGTGATAAGTAGACCGGCGTCTCTCTCTGAGGAAGGGACGACTTTTGCAATGCCGTCTGTGCTCGTCCAGCCCGCCTGGATACGTGGCCAACAGGCGTGTCAGCTAAAACTTATAAGCCGTTAGCAATGATCTACATCAGTAAAGCAGCCTTTCAAAAAGCGAGATATCCGAATCAGCAAAACATTAGGCCCCGGAACATGGATACATTGGGACCTCGTCCCGGACTAAGATTCAGAAGCGCGTGGCAAGGGCCCGTTTCGGTCGACAACTCGGCAGACAAAGCTATCTCACGCTGGGCATATGGAACGACGAGGACACCCCCTCGGGAAATCCGACAGGGGAGTTGAGAGCAGCACTTTTCTCAAAACTCTCGACAGCTTGCAGGCCAAGGGACTTCAGCGCAGCGAGCTTCGTGAAGTTTTCAGAGTGAAAAGGAAATCAGAACTCACTGCGTCCAAAGCGCCGAGCGCCTTCCCCTCGAAGTAGACTGAGAAGGGGAACTTCTCGTACGCAGTTGCACTGCGGTCCAGCCAGATTGCAAGTCGCTGCACCGCCCCTTCTGCGTTGCGGTACAAGAAGCCCATGCCGTCCATCCACGTGCCCTCATAAAAGGGCGTCACCTCGGACGTCCGCTGCTCAACGATCAGGGCGTCCGGAGGAAGACCAAACATGTGGGCATTGACCTGAAGAAACAAGAGCTCCAGTCTGAATCATTCCACTTAGTATTGATACTGAGTGAAGCCAATGGGACAAGATAGTGTCCAGCTTGTCAGCTGACGAACAGAATGGAGCTATCTAGAACAGCAAGCGTGTAGCTTTTCACGCAGTTGAAGTCTTGTCAAAGGCTGCTATTGACAAGCAAAGGTCCACGGAAAGCCAGCCAATAAGTCTGCTAATCCGGATACCATAGCGAGGAAAAGTTGTATGTCCGAGTGCCTCTTCACACTGAATTGAGAGCACCTCCAATCATGCACTTCAACCCCAGCAAGAGACGCTTGCTTCAGGATTGCCCAGGTCGGTAGAAAGCCTCTGCAAGCCAGTCTATAACTCACCGAGAGATGTGTGTCTGTAAACATACAGTAGGCCCTGTCGGGTAGTCCATGGAAGTCGAAGGAGAACTCGGTGTGCTCTGTTTGGTTTGGGGGCAGGAGGCCAGGCAGGTTTATATGGGGGTCCTTTTCAATGGTAGCTGCACAGAGAAGAGACGCGCGATCCCATTTGACTTACTTTTCCTGGAGCAAGACGGAAAAGCTAGCTTTAACATTCAAGCTCCTTATTGTTGCATTGCTTGACCACAACGAAAGATTGCACTAATGAAAGGCGATATCTCGATATCCAGCAAGACAAGAGAGGGCACAAGCAAGGCTCTTGATCCAATGTGCTTCAAGGAAAGCAACAAGTCACATCATATGCATATCAGAGCTGCAGGTCACCAGCATTTTTAAACGAGTGGCCCAAAAAGTTGTCTTCCTAGGAGCTCACCTGCGACACATGTACCTTCAGTGCAGGTTTCAGTACTACCACAGCATTTGGCCCCGCAAATTTTGGAGGTTGCACAGCACCCCCCGCTGCCGTCGCAGACGCCACTGGCACAGCAGTTCCTCCCACAAACATTTGCACTTGGACAGCACGCGGCCCCGTTGCTGTCACAGACGCCGCTTGAGACGCCAGTGTCGCAGCAATTGGTCCCACAAGTAAGTGCACTTGGACAGCACGAAGCCCCGTAGCTGGTGCAAAGGCCGTTGGCACAGCAGTAGCTCCCACAGATGTTTGCACTTGCACAACACCCGGGCCCGTTGCTGTTACAGACGGGGGAGGTGCCTGGCGCACGGGAGGGGGAGGGGCAGCAAGTCGTGCCGCCACAGCTCGACCCTGATGCGCAGCAGAGACTGGCGATGGGACTTGCACAACTCGTCCCTGCCGCGCAGCACGCAGTCCCACACAGTTGGCTGGTGGGGCAACAAGCCGACGGCAAGGTCTTCGAGTCGCAGATACCTGGGAAGTTGCAGCATGAGCTGCCGCACAAAGTTTGCCCTGGATCATTGCAACAGACTTTTGTGGTTGCTCCAAAGAGGGTACCGGTCATGCAGGACTGCCCGAGCGAGCAGCACGTCGCGCTGCTGCCAGTGCCACAGACCCGGGCGTTGGGGCAGCATGTAGCGCTGCTGCCGGTGCCGACGCACGTGTTGCCCGCCGGACAGCATGTGGGTCCGCAGCACGTGTCTGCCGACGAGGAACAGCACGACCCTCCGCAGCACTTTCCAGACGTACAGCACGCTGCGCCTGCGTACACGCTCGTGCTGGTCATGATGCTGCAGCACACGCTTGCCGGAGTCGCATATTGTTGCGCTCCGGTGGGGCAACAGATCGGCAGGCTTGAGTAAGACATGGATTGGCAGGAGACCATGGTGGAACCAAAAGTCGAATACTGCGGGCAGCAGGTATAGGTAGAGAAGCCAGCACTGGGGTCGCTGGTAGAGCAAACAGTGCCCGACGAGCAGCATGTGTTGCCCCCGCAACATGTGGTGCCCGGTGCACACTGCTGTGCGGTACCGCACGGAAGGGATTGCCCGCGTGCGCCAGGGGCGCGGGCGCCGATGCCCAAGAGGATGAAAAGAACGATTGTGGGGGGCAAGGAAGTCATTTCGGACTCTGGTGCCGGCGTCCTGGTGGCTAAGTGACTATCAGCCGCTTGATGCGCCTTTCTTGCCAAATTGGCTGGTTGGAGTTTCTGCTGCAGATTCACACCTCCAACAGTCGTTTCGCAGCGCTCAACTTAAGGTGCCAAAGGGGTGCCAACGGCACGGTCGGAGCTGCTGGGGACCAAAGATATTGCATCATTCACATTAGAATTTAGATAGTATTCAGTGAAAAGGAGGCCGGGTCCTCCTTAGATCACAGTGTGTCTCAGGCTCTGCCAATCACAGTCCTGGCTGACATCATTTAGCTAGTCTCGTCACCTTCATCACCTGCGGCCGGCCAGGTGTCGTAGGCCTAATAGCAGCGCCCGGGCGACAACCCCGAAAGTTGACCCGCGGACTGAAATTGACCGTAACCCGCCAATATTCAGTCGGCAGCTTGGGGCCGCCCATGTCGACCGAGGCCCTGGGGCCTGGCCCCTGGGCCGTATAACTGAGCGGCCCTAACTGCGGTGACGCGACTGCTCGTACCGGTGCTCGGACTCCGAATCCTGGTGCAAACGACGCAATGACGCATATGTATTTAATGGCCATCATGATTAGTCGCTATAGTTACTGCAGTTCCGATGTCTGCGTTCCGCCTGAAAATGCATATTTAATGCAAGTACTGACACTTTAGGAATAGGAAGCTTTACGAATAGTATATCACCATTGACCATCCTGGGACGGATAGGGTTAGTTTGGGCCAGTCCGGGTAGGAATATCTGCGGAGCGGGTACTTTGTATAGGTTAGTATTTTAGAGCTTGGTTAAAGCCTACAGCTTACTACTCTTGAAGTGTCAATGACATGCATCATGCACGACGACAGCGGCCCCGGCCCGTAAAGCTCGGACTCGAGTCGAAGCCGGCGATGCTGGGCGACATGACACATGCCAGCCTATCACTGGGCCTCAAGGTTCACGCTGCATCACGCATATCTGCCAGCTCAATCGCCGTAGTCCGTACTACGTAGCGTCCGAAGGCATATCGCTAGGTCGCGGGTTAGAACTCGACTCCATGCCAGCACTCTTTCCTTTTTTGGATGTTTCCGGGAAAAACTCGCGTGCTTCACAAAAAGGTTCGTAATAACCAATGAATTGGGGTCGACACCAGATTTCTAAGAATTAAGACGCAAAGCTTTCCATGCTCACTAGAACTCGCGCGGCTAATCTACGACTTTGTACGCCTTTCGAGTACAACGATTCTTTTTGACAAAAGCTGCATGCAAATGGGGAAACACAACAAGCCATCATAATTGTGTTCACAAGCAGCATTAGGAGCGAGAAGCCATTTGAGGTGTCCGATCAAGACAGGCCGAGCCAAGTTACCGTGCAGAGGGGTTGCACTACAATTATGAGACAATCTGGCGCATGTCATAGTATTTTATATTGCCATTTTCGTAACGGCCACCGCACATCAACTTTGAGCCTGGTGCTTGCACTCGGTTCAAACCGTCATGTCCTAGGAGTTGGCAAATTACTATAAGTCAGATTTCGGAACCAGTTGAGACTGGCCCCAGTCCGGATCCGTAATTGTATAAAACCTCGATCTGACTCAACTGGGGTGTACGTATATGCATTCAATCTTATCAACTAGTAGCAGCCATCGCACCAACGGCCATCATGGCATTTAGTAGGATACCAATGATGCAATTGAATGATGCTTCTTGGGCTGCCATTGATTTGCATCTGGCGTGAGGTTAGTTAACCTCATTGAACAAATCGACGAATATGTACAAGTGTTAGCTGCTTACAAATTAACCTGATTCGATCAGGTTTGAATGCTTCATAGTCCAGAACGATGTTTCAATGCATGGGACTGGGTGACGTCAAAGGACTTGACAGACTGCACATCATATATAGAAGTTCACCAGATGAGCATGTCATACCATCTTCCAGGCCAACTTATTGATCGTGACGAGGCCCAATGAAAGCTCAAAGAAAGCTCAGGGTCAGCGACATGAAACAGAGGACAATCAGGCTTTATGTTGAGTGCGTATCAAGTTCAACTACTATACCCAGGAAAGATGCCCAACAGGCGCCTGAATCAACCTACAGTGGACGCACAATCAGCGAGATGCACACCCCAGTCAGACCCACTAATCCCGTCGAATGGCGCCCGCTTTCTTTAGCCGCTTCTGCAAGACAATGACAAAGAACTTAGGATGCGGCAGCAAGAAGCTTCACACTGCACGTCAATGCCGTTTCACAGCGGGCACTCCTTCCAGTCAGTGGTCTTGGCTGAGCTGGAAACACTCTCTCCTACAGTCTCCCCTTCTGATGTACTGACACAAATCGGAGACCAGGGAAAGACGCATCTTATCGGATGCAGTACCTGATGAAGAGCTAATTCCATATGTAGAGTCAAGTATCGTCTGCTTTACTTCGCTCCTTAAGTGACTGTAAGATAACGGTTTTGGCCCTATCAAAAATCGGTAATCCTAAGATCAGCGGGAAAAGCGACTCGCCTACTACAAGCTGGGCCGACACTCTGCGAACTGGCTTTATCATCGAAAGTGCCGCGGCAAAAGCTAGACACCAAGATTCATTGAGCTGTACCTGGCCAGCAGGTCAAGCGCACTGAATTGATGAATCAGAAGCGTCGAACCTGAATGACCTCTCACTTGGAAAACAAAGCCAATCGCTTCCGCTGATGGAATGACCGCTCATTGACGTGGAAATGCAAGTATACTATGCGCGCAACTCGGGACTGACCTTTCGAAAGGGAGACAAACCTGTTTTCTTTCCTACAAGATCAGACGGTCATCACGATAGCCGTACCTTAGGGACCTCTTCATGCAGTCGCAGGACTTCGTCCACGCCCGCGGCCTCACGCGCATGCACCAGCGCGAAAGCCCGCAGCAGCATTGCCTCCGCTTGTCTTTTCTCTTCCGCTTTGTCTTTCTCCTGCTCCAAATCATGCTCAGCCTTTGCTTTCCCGTCACCGGACGCCACTGTCAACACGGGACCCAAAACCGAGACCAAGTCCCGATACATCGCGAGGGCTGACTTTAGGACAGACACTGCACGCGCTTTCCATTCCGGACCCTCGTCTGATTCAGTCAAATTTTTGACTCCTGCGGGTTGCTCCTTGTCGGGGGCTTCCGCTGACGCTCTCTGACTCTGGCTCCTTCCCCCCTCCCCGAGTTCGCCCTGCTTTCGGGAGTGGCTCCGTGCACCAAGCGCACGCAGCAAGGGGTGGGATTTTCCGGGCGTTTCGACCCCCCCTTCGACGGAGCGCCGCGACCTACGGGTGGCTGCTGCCACAGGCGAATCCTCTCGACCGCCCCCGACGACAGGTGACAGAATCTTCTGCGTGCTGCCGTCATGAGGTGCCGCCAAGCTGACACCTGGCGATGTGGGAGCAGAGCCTGCGCCTGTTTCCTTCCCTGGCCCCGCTGCAGCCGTCTGGATTTCCGTCACGTCCGTCCGTTCCGTTTCCGGCCCCTCGTTCCGTTCTTGTTCCGCTACTCTGCTCCGCTTGGCCGCTCTTGAATCTTCACCCCCCTCCACCGTTGCTGCTGGGTCCGATACTGAGCCCAGCGTTGGTACGGCAGTCGGCGAATCTCCCCGGTGTCTCTTCGGCCCTTCTAAGCTGGAAGTCGTAGCAGGCGATTTCCCCAGGGTGGCTTCCTCCAATTCCTCCGACGCCCGCTTGCGCTTCTCTCCCCTCTCCTCTGAGGCCCCTGACACGTGGCGCTCGTCTGCGGCGGCCCCAGACGCTTCATGACGTGCCTCTTTACTGCCTTCAGAGATTGGCTCCCTCGATGATTGAACCTCCGGCAAACCCTCCCTCACACGAGTCCCCTCCTCACCCTCGTTTGCCGCCTTCTCCGCGTTCCCTGTTTCTGCTGCGAGTACCTCGCCCGTTCTTCCACCATCCTCCAGCCCTTCCTTGTCCGAAGCCGTGGCTCTGCTGCGCTTCTCCGATTCCGCCAAACCCTCCAAATCCTCGAGGGTTTCTGCCAGCGCGGCCGCCCAGGCCGCGCTCGCCTTTCGGCAGAGCGCCAAAGTGCCGTTGTCGGCAGTGCAACGGTGGCTGCGCGAGCGCTTTCGGAGGCGCTCGTAGGCGGCGCCGAGTGCGGGGGCGTTGTGCGCGCGAGCGAGGCTGTCGATGTAAGACGACGAGTATCTGCAGAACGGAGGGGCTCACTAATCAGGTGACGATGCGAGCACAGTTTGGATCAGAATTGAAGTTTTCTTTTCTCCAAAGTGACTAGTCGATGCTCTTCAATATTGCACTCTTTGGAGATGACTCTGCTTGGCCGCGGGGCAGGAGTCAGTACGCCGGGAAAGCATTCGCTGTTTTTTTGTCGTCCGCGGCACATTCTGCACCCGACGCTCCTGACGGAATTTCGGCTGTCCGAATCAGATTGACGTAACGACACCCATTTGTAAGTAGCAGAGTGCAGATGAGTGGCGACTGATCACCTGAAAAAGTCCTCTTCCTGGACGCCCGCAATCGGCTCTCGCAGCTCCCGTCCGAGTTTCACCTCTTCTAGCGCTTTCAGGACCGTGGCTTTCCAGTTGCCCGCGTTCTCCAGCCATACGCCGAACGCTTGCTCCAGGAGAGGTTTGAGGGTTTCGGCGCCGGGGCGCAGCTGGGCGCGCCGAATGGCGGCCGCGAGGACGGCGACGTACAGGCCCATGGCGAGCTGGGCCAGGTCGCTCAGGAAGAAGGAGTACTGTGGGGAGAAACAGGCCGGTTAAGGAGCCAGGGTCATCAAACCGGATTAAGGATGGCAAGTCTGTTCAAGTTGAAAGCTTGAATAGGAAGCTTGAGTGGCTTCATGTCGAACCACAGTTCATCCTATCGTACCTCTCTGTCAATCCCGCGTCCCTTTCTGCATTTCCGTCCATCACTCAGTTGCTTTTGTTGGTTGCGCAGATATTGTCGTGCGTGCTCAAGCCCTGTCAGCCCGCACAGTCGCGGGTACAGCGGTGGCATATCAACACCTCTCCCTTCCGTTTTTGTTTGGAAGGTATACTACCTCCCCTACTACTTTCTCAACTTCTGATCTGTGCGCAAAAGTGCGCTTTGCGCTTGAGCTATCTGAACGTGACCTCAGCACGTATAGCCGCAGACACGGAAAGAGCATGCATGTGTTCCCTTTCGTCCCTTTGACCATTCGACTTTAGTTTCCGTGTTTCCCCGTTCTCACCTTCTTGTAGGTGCGCGCAAAACGTGCCCCGTCCGCTCGACCGCCCCCCCAGTCTGACGTCAGCCGCACAGCCTTAGATGCATCATCATCATACAACCTATGTTTCTCTTTCCCTCTCAATTTTGCAATCCTCGCTTTTGATTCTCACCTTCTTGTCGGTGCGCAAGAAGTGCGCCGCGCGCTCGAGCGCCTCCCAGTCTGACGTCAGCTCGCACAGCCGCAGGTACAGCATCAGGTACTTGCGCACGCACGTGGCGAACTTGCGCGCGCTCTCCGCCAGGCTCTGCTCCACGTGGACCCTGCGGCCACACGGCAGCGTCGCCGCCTTCCTGCACGCGTTTGGGGAGGTTTTGGGGTTTGGACAGGGGAATTCATGCAAAATAGTTGACAATTAGGAGATTAAAAACAAGGTCTCAAGACCTGTGAACGGTTTTGGGCTGAGGTTCGGGTGAGGAGCGGAGACTCACAGTCGAGACAAAATTGAAAGAACTTGGGGAAGGCCTAGAGGGAAGCACGGGTTTTTAGAAACAATTCTTGCGTAAGGGTCCTGGGAAAGGTTCAGGGCTCAGAGCTCCTAATCTCTAGCACCGGCTTCGAACTGGGGTTGAGAAGCGAGGGGAGTTCGAGCAACGTATTTTTTATTGCGACTGAAGCCTGCGTATGAACCAGTTAGAACATTGCTGACTTGCCAATCCATGAAGATGGCTCCAGGTTTGTCAACAGCGTAACGGCTCCTCGGCCATTTGAAATATTAATGCTTGAGAAGCTAAAGATTGTGCTTCGCCATAGGTAGACGAACTCCATTATCCAAAGGCAAAAAAAGCGCCGCAATCAACCGCTCACTTCTTCTTCTGCGCGTCCAGCTCCCACACGTTCACGCAGAAGGCCCCCTTGGCCGTCCGGAAGAAAAACTCCAGCTCGGTCTTCGCCGCGTCCACCGCCGCCCGCTCTAGTTCCCCCCCTGCCCCCACCAGCAAAGCATGCGCCACGCGAAAGCGCGCCTTGTGAAAGTGCTTCAGCTCGTTGAAGATGCAGAACCGCAGCCCGGCGACCGCGTCCTCGTGCAAAACCCTCCAAACCTCGGCCAGGGGCGCGCTCGCGGCCGGCTTCGCGTCTTCGTGCGAAAGTCTCGAAATCTCGGCCGGCGGGGCGGCCGCGGCCGGCTTCGCGTCGCCCGATCGCCTTCCCTCGTTTTCGACATCCGTGTCTGTGACTTCCGGACCAGTTGCGCGGATCTCCGGGCGCTTCTCGTCGACGTCCGTACCAGCCTCTCCGGTCCCCACTTGTATATCGGCTCCCCCTTCGACTTCCATCAGTCCAGCGCGTTTCTCTAACAAGTCCGCTTCACCAATCATGTCAGGAGTCTCCATAGACTCCATACGAATCTCCATTCTCTCGTCTGCGCCCTGAGTATTTACCTGAACACCTGCCGGCGAACTCTTCTCAACATTCGTTTCCTCGTCTTGAGCTTCCTTCTCCAAACTCTTTCCGCCGCTTTTCTGCACAGTCTCCTCAAGCGCTTTCCCCTCTCCCGCTTTCTCCTCGTCGCTCTGTTCTCCAACATAAGGGCCCCGCACTTCCGCCTTCATCGCTAACCCCCGCAGCTTGCGCGCCGTCGCCGGCAAGAAACAGTGCCTCGCAACCGCCTTCAAACCCTCCCACACGTCCGACTCTCCGCCCGCTCCCTTTCCTGCATCTGCCGACGGCATTTCCTTTGACGTCAGCGCCCCTTCTGACGTCAGCTGCTCTCCTGACGTCAACCCACCGTCCAAAACCCGTAGATCCTGGATCGCTGACCACGTCACCGGACGCGAGCGGAGCTCGCAGAGCAGTTTTGCGCGGGAGGCGTGTAGGCGGTAGACCGGGAGGACAACTAGACCGGCGGAATCGGACGCCCGGCCGTACAGGTCCAGCGCTTCGGACGTGGGGCGTCCGAGCTTTTGGGAGAGGCGGCCAAGGGGGATCAGCAGCTCCCAGTCGTTGCTGCGCGAGGCACATAAAGAGCTCTGAATATCAGTTCCAGTGGTCTTTTGGAGTGATTCAAGCTGCTGCTGTTAAGGAAGACTGCCGCTGTAGCTCCAACTTGTTTGAGGCTGCTGTTAGTGAAGACCGTAGCTCGTGGCGTCTGGAACGGACTATCGAGAAGCGACATTGGCCTCGTCATACCATTTCGCGGACTGAACGGGACATATAGCCATCTGGAAAGCTGGAAAAGACGAGTCGCTGTTACACATGGAGCAACGTGCTTGAGTCAATTGAGCGTGAAAAGAGGGGATGCGCATAATCGACCCAACCCGTCCAAAGAAAGAGGTGTCTAAAAACCAACTGACTTGTGTCCTTACGAATACAACAAAGTCTTAAAAATGGATGAACACCCGGTCCCAGCTCACAGGAGTCGTAAATAAATCAAAGGAAAGTCAAACGGGCAAGCTCACCTGCATACGTAGCTCCGCTCGAAGTGCCCCAATGCTTCTGAGCAGAGGGCGCGCCACGTGTCGTCCCTGGGGAGCTGGATGCGGCGCTGGTCGGAGAGGGGCACCACGTCCTGGATGACGTCATACAGGACCGAGCCGTTCCACCGCTCTAGCTCGTACTGCAAAACAAGAGAGGGGAAGACACGTCAGATCAAGCGAACCAGCGGGCGGCTTTAAACGGTTCGAAAAGATGAGTTACAGAAGTGCCAGATTCGTGTACTGGTGAAAATCTGTGAATGACAAGGCCTTGTGAGGGTTGGAAAGGGTTAGCGTTGCCCCGTCAAGCAATCAGAAGAGCTCTCTGTGGCCTTATAGAGCCGGGAAGGCTGGCTTATCGCGGCTGTTACGACAGCGACGCACGCATCACGTTGGTATTTGGCGTGGGCACTGCCAAATTGAAACACGCCAAGACTAATGCCTTTTCGAGAATCGTTTTGCAAAGTTTGTTTCTGGAGATCAAACGTCCTACTTTAACTGTACAAGCCTTTGGCAACTTGCGGCCCTGCCGATCCCGCACTACTCTTCAAGATTCGTTGACAGCTCTTCTCTTACCTTCCTCCCCATCCCGGCAGCGGCTTCCTCAAAAATCTAGCATCGCACGTCCACAGTCTATCCTCTTCTCCTGAGAGAAGTTTGATCTCGTACAACCAGCGTCTTCCCTAAGTCTCTCACAGCTTGCTTTTGAACGCTAATCAGCTGCTGTGAAGCTCACCTTTTTGTCTGCAGTCGGGGCAAGCGCCAGGGCCGTCAAACTGGCTTGCCGGCACGCCTTCCGGACGGGACTGTCTTCGTCTGTCAACCCCTGATTGTTCGCTAGCATCCGTACTTGAGTAATCTGAATGATGTCTGAAGCTTACCTTTCGGTGTCTCAAGCTCACTTTTCGGTGTCTCAAGCTCACCTTTTTGTCTTCCGTCGGGGCAAGCGCCAGTGCCCGCAAGCTGGCTTGCCGGCACGCCTTCCGGCCGCTAGCGACCCGGGCCATGCGAGACGGGTCTTCCCGCCACTGCTGAGCGGTGAACTGCTTGCCGCCGTCGTTTAACAGAAGGTCCACCTCCTGAAAGCACAGGAACAGCTACTTGGAAAGCGTACTTGCGTTGATGGACCGAGGAATCACGTTGCCAAAAGGCGACTGATGGTGAAGAACAGGCGGAAACGCCGTCCCTGTGCCTGAAGTGCACAAGGAACACGAGCACTTCCCTGGGTTACGATAAGCAACATACGAACTGGAACGGTCGCCTTCTTCACGGTCGATTCTTGAGAACAAGCCACTTTAAAAAGAAAGCCCAATCAGACACTGCGTTTCGCTTCTTTGAGGTGTGAGCTGTGATGATTGGATAAAGTCAGGTTTAGGAAACGCAGGCTGACCGACGGTAGAGGAAAGGGCGCAAGTTTTGACTTGGAAGCGACAACGCAACCCTCCATTGAGTCCGCAATTTCCGCACCTCATCGTAGATCTCTGCGAGTCTCTCCCAGCTCGCCAGCCGCTGCGGGTGGTAGCACAGGTCGTACTTGTAGTAGCTCTGCATTCTGTCAAAGTACCGCCGCCCCTCGTCGCTCAGTGCAAACCCGGGGGCTTCCAACCCCGCGTTAATCTCCTCGACCTGAGCCAGTAGGAAGTAGAGTTTCGAGTACACCTCAGCGAAAGGCCCCGCCTTTCGGACGTCCGCGGCCGCCTTTCGGATGTCCGCATCCGCCGTTCGGACGCCTTCCACACCCCTATGGACGCCGTCCGGCAGTATCCGGACGGGTTGCGGCGCCGTTCTGACGGCCTCCGGCGGATTCCGGACACCTTCTATCGACGTTTGGACGCCGTCCGAAGCCGCTCGGACGCTGTCGTCAAACGTGACCGTCCGCTGTGTTGCTGTTTGGACGGCATCTCGGGGGATTCCAGGGGATGTGGCCGTCCCAGTGTGAACAGGCTCTCTCTCCGGGCGGCCGCTTTCTGGCGAGGTTGAGGGCGAAAGCGCCAACCGTAGACTGGCTGGCTTCACGGAGCTCCCGGTAGTCTCTCTACCGGTATTCCCTTTTACCTGAGAACTCTGAACCACCGCACCCTTTTGCCCCGGGAAAGCTTGCCCTTGCACGGTGCCAACAGCAGGGGCGGCTCCGGTTGACTGGAGTTCCGCTTGTCCGCCAACGGAGCCCAACGGAACCTTGCCTTCGAGGAAGGGCTCGACGGAGAAGCGGGCGAGGACCTCCGGGGGGGGCTGGGGGAACTGCTTGTGGATGGCCTGGAGAACTTCCTGGAGATGGGCCTTCAGCCGGTCGGGCTGCAAAAGAAAACCGTAGACTTATGAAGGCAGTCGGGAGAGGTTTCCGGGGCGATTAATGAAGGGCTTGCTACGACGACGTTGGATGTCGTCAGAAACAAAGGTAATGGACACATGGAACAAACGCAGCCGAAAGTTTCAGGTCGGCTTCGTCCACTTCATCCGGTCATTACTGATTGCTATAGTGGGGCATCTATAGATAAAAGTGAGGCGCAGGTACAGACGTTGATGAGCGTCTCGTACAGACAGTGGTGGAAGTCCTCGATCTAGAAGAGGCGCCATTATAGTTACCAGGTTTTGAAGACAACATTTCAGATATTGAGAAACCTGGATGCACGTACTCAGATGGCCACCTCTGCAGCGAAGCGGGCTTGGAGTCACTCCTAGAAAGCAGAGACGATGCCCGCTGGAGCCACCGGCTCGTTCGCCCAGAATTTCAAAGACGACTCGAGAATTGGGCAAAGGGATGCTTCCGGAAACGGAGACTGCTTCCCATACGTCCAACACGCTTCTTTTATCTAATCAGGAAGGCTAGCAAACTATCAAGAAGGAACCTTCCAACGGAATGACTGATTCGCAGTTTTCTCTAGATCTAAGCTTGTGCTTACCGAGCAGCTCTCAGCATAGGGCACGATGTACCGCATCACCTCCGCGCACTGCTCCTGCGTACCGAAGTCGCCCTTGCTCGTGTTCTCGTGCTTCTCCAGTTTCGGCTGCCCGGCCCCCTCCTGCAGATTTAGACCGTACAGGCAGAAAAAGGCCTGGTTTAGCTCCGCTGCTAACCCAGTCTCCCTCCTTAACCCCGCCAGAATCTCGTCGCCATTTTCCGACTCGTCCGCGTTTCCGTTAAGCGTTCCACCCGCAACCCCGATCGGACTTCCGTCAAGGTTTCCGTTGGAGAGTCCGTCCAAGTTCTGGGCGGACCTTCCATCCGCAACTCTGTCCGCATCCACTACCGTCGATCCGTCCGGTGCTTTGACTGGACTAGCATCCGCCCTCGAGAACCGGATCTGTCTCTGAGACGCGCTTCTTTCAAGCCGCTTCTTAGCGGGCCCCAGCCGCTCTTTCCCGAACCGGCCCGCATCCGGTGAATCTGGACCGTAGAATCTTGCATCCGACAGCGGGGAATCCCCGCCGGTTCCCAGGCGCAACCGCTTCACTCGACCGGGACTCTCCCCGCCCTCTAGTTTGCGCTTCGCACCCGCTCTCGCCTCCTCCCCGCTCGCAACCTCCGCGCCTTCCCTGACGTCAGCGTCTCGTTTGGCGCCCACAAGCGCCGCTAGCCGCGCATCGAGGCCGGTCAAAAGCTGAATTGCCATCTTGAGAAACGGCGCCCCGCCGTCTCCAGCGCAACAGAGCCCTTTGTCCGCGAGCAGCCGGTGCGCGCTCGCGAGCAGAGCGACCTGCTGCGACACGGCCGCCGATTCCGCCGGAATCTGCGCCCCAGCGGGCGGACTCTGCTTCCCGCCGAGCAGAGTTAGGTGTTGCAACCGGCAGAACGCGACGAGGCCGTCGATGAGCATGGTGCTGTCTGATCGGGCGGCGGTAGCGGGCTTCGGTTTGGATAGCCGCCCGGAGGTGTACAGTTTGGCAACGATGTCGAGGAGCAGCCGTTGAAGCGGGGCAAAGTGCTCCGCACCAAGCCCTGCAACAGACTGCAGAAAAGGAGGGATGAGTGAGGCAATACGTCTTAACAACTCCTGAAAATTGGACTTCTGGCGACTCTGCATACTTGCCAGGAGCCCGCCCTGGATGACAAACTCATTACAAAGTAACCAGCGGGACCTTCTTTGAAATGCGTAGAGTAATGGCTCCATAGATTGCATACAACAAGAATTATTGGATCCTCCTTAGCTTCTGTATAGCAGCCGTTCCGACGGAATGCTGCAGCTGAACAGGTGCAAAATGGGTTGATCCAACAACATCAGGACCACTCTTTCCTAAACCTCCACTCCCGCGAACCCTTTCGAACTGGTGCCCAACGCCCACAACAAAAGTAGAAGCACTAAACAGGCAAGCTTCCATCATTTTTGAAATTCTACACAGACGTTCCACAAGGACATAAAGAGGGCAACCACCATGTTTCTGGTTTAAGCGCATCGTTTGCATGTCGATTCTTTGCTCATAAGGATATAAAGCATCTCTACCAAGGCCTACCTTCGACCGCGCCTTTCTCCACGCTTCTCGCAGCCCTTGCGCGCATACCCCCACCGCCCGCAGCTCCGCTCCGATCAGCCGCCCCACCCGCTGCATTCTCTCCGCACGTTCCTCCACCGAGCCTCCCCCCAAAACACCAGCCGCTCCTACCCCCCCGAACACCCCTTCGATGTCAAACTCCAGCCACGCCTCCCGGCTCCCGTCCAACCACCCGCTGACACGCGCCAGGATTTCCAAAACCTCCCCCCGTGCACGCAGCTCCGTCGGTAGATACCCCGGCCCCCCTTTCCGGCACGCATCCAGCAGCGCGCGCAGCGCCTCCAGTCTCCGCCGCGTGTCCAGGGCCGGCGGGTGCCTGCTGACGTCAGCAACGAGAGTTTTCGAGGGGGCGGACTTCGTAGCGCCGGCCTCGGCAGAGATCCCCTGGCGCGGCACCTCGTTGCTGACGTCATCAGGGGTCCCCCGGCCTGGCGCTCCATTGCGGACGTCTGCGGGCGTCATCCGGCCCGGAATATTCACACCGCCTCGGCTGACGTCAGCGGAAGGTGGATCGATGTCATCCGGTGCCTCCCAGCCAGGAAGCACGACCGGCGCCAGGAGACAGACGAGGCCTTCGGAGTCCCCGGCCTCGCGCAGCGCCGCGACTGAGCGCGTCAGCAGCTCGTCCGTCTCTAGTTCCTGCAGCTTCCCTCGGACGTCCGAAAGGGCGAGCGTTGGACGCCGAAGGCCGCAGCCCAGCTGAAGCGTCTCAGGGGCGCCACGTGGCAGGCTCTGTGACGTCAGCTGGGGTGTCGGAGTTGACACCTTGTTGTCTTCGCGACCCTTGAGCTGACCGCCAGGGAACGTGGGAGACTCCACATCCATAGGCGATGAGATTCCATCAACGCCTTTTTCTCCGGCCTTTCCGGCTAACTCTGCGGCTGCGTTAGCCTCCTCTGTTTGCACGTCTGCTGACGTCGTAAGTTCCATAAGCTTTGCACACTCGTGCACGCACTCGATGCCCCGTGCGCGCTTCCCTTCCAGGAACGCCAGCCTCGACGCCGCCCACTGAAACTTCGCCCAGAACCGCCAATCGAGCGCATTTACACTCTCCTCTATGGCCCACCCGCCTGCTCCTCTCCCGGCTGACGTGTCATCCGCATTCCGGTCAGTCTCTCCCCCTTCCCGGGGCGGTCCTTCCCCGGGTTGCAGAACCCCCCCAAACTCGATCCCCTCCTCCGCATTCCTGACGGCCCACCACTCCACCACCTCGCACAGGCACCGGTTCCCCTCCCTCGCCGCAGCTTCCGTCCTCTCCCTTGAGCTTTCCGGCGTCTCCCCGTCCTCTCGCTTTTCCGCCCGGTCTAGATGCAGCTGCGCCAGCCAGAGGCTGCACTGCGGCGACCGCTCCGCCCCCCAGTTTCGCATCAGCGACTCGACCAATAACAGTGCGTCGATTGAGGTAGAGTCTAACGCCACGTCAGCTCTTGCCGCCAGCTGTTCTAACAAGCGGGGCCCGACATCGAGCGCCCCGCTGTTAGCTTCTACCGCATCCAGAAACGCCTCAAAACCTGCTGACGTCGAGAGCGGGGCGTCCACTGCGTTCCGCTTCCCATCTTTAAAGGTCGCCTCACCTTGCCCCGTCTCTATCTGACCTTCCCCCTGCTTGCTTTGCTCAACACCCCCCTTGCCATTTGTTTCTCCGTTTGTGATGCTTTTTGAGCCGTCCGCAGCTCCAGTAACTTTCGAACCCTGACCAGGACCGCCGACCACAAACCGCCCCAAAGTCGCCCACACATCTTTTGGCTCTGGCGCTTCCGCCTCTTTCCTGACTGCCTCTTTCTTCTTTCCATCCACCTTCTTCTCTTTCTCTTTCGAACCCCGCTCTCTCAGCGCACGAGTCATGCGCCGCTCTCGCTTCTCCGCACCCCCCTCCCGCCCTTTTGCTTTGGTCGGTGAAACTACCCGGGCGCTTTCATTTTTTTCCCGGCCCTCGTTTGGTCTAACGACAGCTGTCCCTCCGGTCCCGTCCTTTGGCTCACCCCCCGAATCCACACCCTGCTCAGGAGACCCCGCAGAAGCTTGCTCCAAATCAATTACAATTGTCCCCTCTAAAAGAGTCACGGCTTCCACTACTTGGGCGGTATGTTCCGCACTACCTTCTACACCGTTTTTAGGAAGCTCTTCTTTCGTATCTATCTGATCTGCTGCCTTACATGACGTTTCCGCTGCCTCAGTCACAACCGCATCGAGCGCCCTTTCCCCTTCCTTCTCTCCCGCAGACCGAGACGCACCGCCTGCTTCTACACCTTGCAGTTCTACGTCGTTAAGCTTTTCCGGCTCGTTTCCAGGTTCTACCTTTCCGCTTTCCGCTCTGTCCGGGACCTGGGCCGGGCTTGAAGCGACGTTAAGGGTCGCTGCGGAAGGAACGGTTACGGGCTCCGTAATCTTTGCTTGCATATCTCGCCCTAAGTCACCCCCCTTCGCAATTTCGAACACGAGAGGCGTCTGCAGCGTCCAGGCGCGACCTTCGATCCCCGTCACGCCAGTTCTCGTACTTTTGATTCCGTTCTTCTCCGTTCCGTTCGTTTCTCCCTCGTCACCTTGCGCTTCCCCTCTGTTAAGGCCGGCAGGTCTGCCCTCTCCCGGCAGGCTCAACGGATTGTCACCACCGGAGGCCCTGTCACTCGCAGTGGCCAAACTCGTTTCTTCACCAGCCTCCCTTTCACCCTCCACCTTACTCTCTACAGGGCCTTCCGCAGCACTCCTCTGCTCGCTCACCGCTTTCGAATCAGTATCAAGCCTCTGACTGCCCCCGTCCGTCTCGGATTCCAACCCCTTACCGGCCCCGTTGATCGCATTTTGCAGCTCAAGAACTAGAGCGGACCATTCGGGCCGCGCCAAACGCAATTTCAACCCCGCCAATTCCTCCCTCTGCACCGCAGGAACTCTTCTCCGCGGCGAATCCGACAGGCGCGGCTCGAGCGCGTCGAATGCAAACCCCAAACCTCTCTCCTCTTCCTTGCCTTGAGGTGCCACGTCAGCCCCCGCGTCCGGTTCCGTCTCACTGGGCATCCCCTTCTTTACCAAGGAACCAGCAGCTAGCGCGCTTTTCTCTCCTTTCCCAACCGCCGCTTCTACCCCGGTTTCTTCTCGTATGAACAAGCCTCCTTGGATGGCTTGGACAATCTCGTTGCTTCGCCGATGCTGAGAGTCCATTCTCAAAATTCGCCTGACGAGTTTTTCGCACCCAACCTCGTCGCCAATCGCCAGAAGGACCTCCGTCAGCTTCTCCAAGCAACCCCAGTGCTTCGGGCTGCAGGGAGAAAACAAAGTTCGACATTTTTCGATATTCCCAAGGAGCTTCCGTTCCGATTGGGAACCTTGGCTTTCGGGAAAGCCGTGAGTGGCACTCTCAATACTGGACCGTGCACCTCTTACTAACGTCATCTCGTAAGATTTTGCGGCAAACATCGATATTTCTACTTTAGGTTCAGGACAAAATCGGCTACAGGAAGCAGAGTAGTCGGAACGTATCGCCCTGATGCGGACAGAGGACGTGAAGGGTTTCGTACTCCTGCCCTGAGCTCTGCCGAACCTCAAGACACACCACGAGAGTAGCTGGAATAAACATCTGTCTGCAGACGTAAGTCGTCGAATGACAGAGAAACACTCACACAGACTTATAAAGGCATTGAGCGCCAGATTCAGCTGCTTACAGTGCTAGATTGCGCAGTCACACTGCTCCAGTCCCCCTCTACCCAGAACAATCCAAAAAAACTTTCAACTAATATCCTCACCTGCATTTCAGACCCTGCTCGAAGCTTTTGCGCGCCACATCCAGCCGCCCCACGGCGCTCGCTAGCGCGCCCGCCCGATGCCATACGACCACGTCCTTATCGTCGATTGCTGCGGCCTGGAAATAGCAGCGCAGACCCTCGAGCTTGTCGGCACGGGAGGGCGAGGCGGCGTGCAGGCCGGCCAGGTTTTTGAGGGAGAGGAAGCGCAGCTGGAGCAGTGTGTTGGACTCAAGCGGGGCGTGGGCCTGAAGATTACGAGCCGTAAAAAGGTTGCTCTTCGGTTCTTGTAACTCATAGCTGGCGCAGTGTTTTAATGTCCAGGGGGGGCGTGGGCATGGGAAAAAACGAGCCGAAGATGATCTCAGCATACGTCAGGATTCAGGAGAACTTGCAGAATGTTTGCTCTTCAACTCTTGTAACCTGGAAGCAGAGAACGAGCGGTGTGAATTCTCCAAAGGAAAGTGGCCCTGGAAAAACGAGGCGAAGATGATGATAGCCTACGCCAGGATTGGGGCTAAAGTGCTGGAAATGTTTGCTCATTTGATTTTGTAATCTGAAAGCGGAGCTGGAGCAGTGTGCTTCTCTCCAGAGGGGCGTGGGCCTGACAAGGACGAGCCGAAGATAATTTCAGCATACGTCAGGATTAAGCTACAGTGCAGACTGTTTGCTCTTCGGTGCTTGTAATCTGGAGCAGTGTGCTGCTCTGCGGGGGGCGTAAGCCTGAAAATGACAAGCCGAAGATGATCTCAGCATACGTCAAGATTAAGGCACAGTGCAGAATGTCTTCTCTTCGGTTCTTGTAGTATGGAAGCGTAGGTGGCCCGGTGTGCTTCTCTCCTGTGGCCTGTGGGTCTTGAGAAGACGGACCGAGCGACAAGCATATGTCATGATGCCGCGCAGAAAAAGCTTTGGTGAATGGTTGCTATTAGATTCTTTCGCAAGGGCAGCTGGAGTAGTGTGTTGCACGCCAGGGAGCGTCCGCCTGACTGAAGGAACACAAGGATCAAAGAGGTTTACCGTTTATGTCAGGCATAAGGTATCAAAAAGAGACGCGGCGATCAAATGGTCGCAATGCCTGCGAAAGGAGAGGGGAGCGGCAACAGTATCAGTCAATATGCTCCAAACACGCAACATGAGAACTTCATGAAGTCGTTCATTTTTCGCGGAAAGGCTCCTGCGTTTCTATTGGAAGTATAAAAGAATTCTCCGATGTCAAACGGACTTGGATGCTGGATCTGCAGAGCTTGAACGATTATTTGAAGAAGGCAAGTATCAGCAGCGGTGAAGAGACGGATATGCACTATGGAGCCATCTCACCTCCCCCTGTGCATACAGCCTGTCCCGCAGAATTGCTTCAAAAAGTGGTCGCGCCTCGTTCTTCTGGCCCTTTTGCATGTGCACAAGCGCATCTTGGTACATCTGCGCCAGGCGAAACTCCTGCAAACCAGTAATCATTTTTAAGTTCCGTTTGTTCTTTTTGTTCAGGGGGCTTGTTTGAAAACAATCACAGTACAATAAAGAAAACACGGTAGTTAATCCTCGAGATTCCAGGTAGTATGATAAAGCGCTCTGAAAAGACACATATCCTAAAGGAACATCATTTGATCTCCTCAGTCTCTAGCTTGTAGCTTTGATCAAGGAAGGGGCAATCAGAACTCATCAACTTTTGTATATTATCAGCGTCCTGTGAGAGCAGCGTGTTTGACAAGCTTGAAAGCGTCCACCGCCAACGTGGACGAGCAACCTGGTTCCAAATCGACATTCCTGCTAATTGCTGAGCAAACATCCTAGCGCTTTGAACAGGCAGTAAGATGGCATCTACATGAAACAAAGCAAGACCAACAAATAAAATTTTTCTCACCTGAGCCTCCTTGGTAGGTCCCAGCTGCTGCTGGGGTGTCTGGCCTTGTTCATCGTTAATGGATGCAATGGAAAACTGCAAACAGGACACTGATTCTTGTTATGCACTAAACAGCTAGTTCTTTGAGGGAAGGTCATCAAGAGCAATCCTGTCCGACTGGACACAAAGAGGAATGGGAACTTCATAAGGACAGAAGATACAATAGAAACAAGGTGAGCAGTGTATCAATGAAGAACACCTGGAAATGATCATAAATGACTCGTCTATATGAGTAATATGCGCTTTTAACAAGTTCCCAATATGACGCTGAAGTCACCACACAGTAAGGATGCTTTGTTGATTACTCTCAGCGCAACACTGTGTCCAAAACTGACGGCAGTGGGCGAAGCGCCATTGGCTTCATCTCAATGCACCACCTTCAGGCTGCTCATTTTATGTCAATCAAAGCGTTGAATGACCACACAGGCCTCTTATTAGGCGATCAAGGAAAGCGTGAAATCCTAATTGGTTGTATTTCTCAACAGATCGCTGTGCACTGATACATCCTAGCTGAATAGAGTTAGAAACAAACAAAGACCAGCAGAATTGATACTGATCGAGCCGGCAGCTCGGGTCACACCTTTGATACATGAAAAGGCAATTGCTAGCAAGGAAAAGCAACTGGCCATATGGCAGCAGCTTCAGTCAGTGTTGCATATCAGCAATGCATGAAAACCAGGACAAGCACTTTGTTCCAGCAGCCAAAACTGATGCCTACAGAAACTGCGCAGCATTTGGAAGAAAAGGACAGCTCACCATCGTGGCAAATTGCTCTTCTCGTCTTTGAATGGAAGAACGTGCAGCTGCTCAAAACCTTGTGGAACTCGCAGCCACTGCAGACCCAGCCCAGCGCATTGAAGCAGGGTTGTCAGACCCCATGGCCGGGGACGCCACAAGGACGAATACAGCACGCAATCGTCCACGTTGACATCAAAAGTCTGAACTGAAATGCCTTTCTAGCCAGGAGAAACAAGCAGCTCGAACGCACTTCAGATGTCTCTCTCTGTCTCCCTGCACGGCGCACCAGCAATTGCTGGCATTGATCAGCATCATTGAGCTGAGAACCTTAAAGTCAGACTCAGAAAGCGAGAGCCTCAGTGAGGGAAAGAAGACCCGGATGTCCAGTATGTACAGAGTGGGACACTGGGAGGCCCGTGCCAGTGGCCCGCGTGCGACGGTTGTTCAAAATTTGGGGGCGCCATCGAGGACCGGTAGAAAACCGGTTTGCCTGAAACGGTGCCGACATAGGAATCATCCCCTGAAGCTGACTGTCACCGTCCGTCCGATCTCACCTCGATCAAGAAGACCGTCGGGTAACGGTAGCAGTGGTTCAGAATGCCGCTGTCTAGTTGTCTGTCTTTGGGCTTGCGCACAGAATGCGAGCACGCTAGCCGAGCTGAGCAGCAGCACGGTGCATGAGCAGTTTCTGACAACGCCTGGCATTGGAACCCATACGCAGCGTCCCAGAGCGCCCCATGTGACATCAGGCTTAGCTGCGAACCAGCGTCGCTGCTCCTGCCTGGGTGGTTCGCGCAATGTGCCTTAATTCTCCTCTGAAAGCACAAGTCTTGTCCTGTAGGAACAAGGGCCCCGGCACGGCAAAGTCTTGCATTGCTGCGCACTCCGTTGGCTGCTGATACAGAGATCTCTGCATTATCAAAGGCATCAATCTCTTTAGGTACTGTGAAATCATCTGTTCCAGCTCAATTGCACTGGGCTTCAAACATCATGGCACAGTCCATTGTGAGTGTGCCGCTGCATCGAGTAGTGACGTCGGCACCAGACTGCAGCTGTCTTGACATTGACGCAAAAGCCAAAAGGGATCCAGCGCCTCGATCTTCATCACGGTGTCTGCAATTGCCTGTGGGGAGAGCGCATGCTATGCAAGGCAACTCAAGAACACCAGGTGATCACTTCATCCTTGAATTTGTTTCTGGAAAGTTGAACATGTACAGCAAAGCTTAGCCAGTGTAATCCGCATCTATTGCAGCTCTCATGACGCAGCTGAATTTGGCTTGCAAGATTTTCAGCTGCCACTGAATACATCTAGTATGACGCGACATAAGCGGCCTTGAGAAAGTTTCCTGCAACCACACACCTCAGTTGTGGTTGTTCCATGTCACACGCGTGTCTGGGGTGACCCTTGGGTACTGTTCGCACCGGGACCCTCTTACAGCAAGAGCGGTGTATTGCCATTTTGATGTCATTGAAGTTTCCCAATAACGTTCTTCTTTTCATTGAGAATTCTGGACTGGCGCCTCTGCCGATCAGTCTACACTGACACTACTATTTGTAACATCTCCAACTGCAGCTACTGATTGAAAGGTTCATTGTGAAAGATGTTGAAAGACTCAGGCAACCACTGATTGGACGAATGCCTCTCGATCGAAATTTCCAGAAGCCCAGACCGCCCGGAGTTGGATCTACGATAGACTTTCTGCGCTCAATCCCAACAAAATCTGATGAAGGAGATCTAAAACCTGCAGTTACTCAATGTTTGGAGTATGATGGCCTCTCACATCTCCAAGAGTGTGTATTCTGCAGCAAGAAGCAGCCAGCCTCTCCTCCACCCCTCCATTCAAGAGTCCACTTTCTTTCCAAGGCTGGGCTCCATAGACAGGAGTCCAGCTTATCTACCTTCGGTACAGTCACACAGGGGGCGCCAATCCATAAGAGCCCAAAGCGCAGAGCAAGCTGCAGTCCCCCAGCCTGCTCCGCCAGCCAAAAGTTTTCATGTGAGTTCCTTGTATGTTTAAGCCTCTGGCAAGTCCACTTTGTTTCCCAAAGATCTGGAGCTTTGAGCTCGGGACTTGTGCAAACACATAATCAGGTGTGGCTCTCAGTCTGGGCTTGTGTCAATCCAGGCTGGTTGAATATCTGGCAACTAGACTTGGTTTCCTTGAGCTTTCTGAAAGGCTGATAGAACTCTCAACACAAAACGTCAAGCCCTAAAATATTGGAAAGCCTTCTGGAGGCAAGAAACATATGAACAGAACGCAAATGTCATCTGAACAATTTCGAGATGCTGATTCGCCTCTTTCCCTTCTCTCCAGTGGACAGATATCACCAGGAATGCCAGTCAATACATGCCTCAAGCCATTGTGATAAGCACGGCCCTGGGGCTGTTCTACCCACCCTCCTTTACGTGGTTCACAAACAAGTAAGCTGGACATTCGCACCATTGTTTTCCTTCAAGGTCAGCTTATGAGGATGCGGTCTGTGCGCACCGGCGGTCGTCTGACCGTCTAGGAGAAAAGGCCAGCTAGAGCCACGCAGACTAAAAACGGTTCAGAAGATACCATGAGTCGAACACTCGTTTCTGACATATTCTCATCCATACTCCATCCAAAAATACTCCGTTTGGTTTTGCATTTTTCTAGCTTTTAAAGCTTCGGCCATGGCAGATAGAAGATCAGCTACTTCCTACTCGCTGACAGAAGCCGTGATTGCCTGTCATGAATCATCATTGATTGTCCCCCTATGGCAAGCAGAGAGTCGCTCCCTGCACGTGATTGCTCTCTTCGTGTGACTTCTTCACCTTCTGTTTTCCAGCCACTTTTTTCTTCGGCAAAGGCAGATTGTCGCTGGGTGGGACATAAACTGGGAGTTTACGGTATAAAGAGCAGAATGAGGCAGGAAGTTTGTATCGTTCAGTTGCCTTGCTTGCTCAATCCAGGTACTACCCCTCCGCTCTGGGCTTCCTAATGTTCGCCGTCGGCATCAACCTCTCCCTCGACGACTTCAAGCACGCGTTCCAGCGGCCGGCCGTCCTGGCCCTGGGCTACTTTGGGCAGTTCGTGCTGAAGCCGCTCTTTGGCTACGCGCTCGCGCACTCGCTCGTACCGCTGCTCGGACTCCCGGACGCAATCGGTGAGTGACTCCTTTAGACCGCCGAAGCGTCAGCGGAATATTGGTTCTGGTCGGAGTATCGAAGAAGGTCGCCTGGTGGGTTGCCGCACACCATTGGCGAGGGAAACGTAGGTGCAGGAAGTGTGCTTTGAGAAGTTTTAGCTTCTTCAGGACGCGGAGTTTGAAATCGAGTATGCATATGAATGGGCGGTCAAAGGTGTAGCAAGTTGCCCATCATTGTCGTGCTTCGGTTTATTGATTCAAGCATGACCTTTCCATATTGACTTCCGTTGATCTCGGGCAACCGTCGCAACAAACAAGGAACTGAAAGGAGCAACACGACCGAAAAAGTCGTCTGACATCCCAGCACTGACTTTTAGAATGCGTCTTCAAAAGATATGGCCGAAAAGAAGTCGAAACGCCTCAGTCTCTTGTATCCTTGACAAAGCCGTCCTCGTGTTCTATTGGCCGTCATCTTAACCCCAAGCGCTCCTTGCAGCATCCTCGTCTCTCGCGTAAGCCTCATGCAGCATTCCAACTACGCGTTCATCCTGGTGAAAAACGAAGGTTATCAGTCATCTTTACCGCTCTTCCAACCGTCACCACGTGCTTATAACAAGAGTCTTGCACCGCTGCTAATGGCTGTTAACCCCTCTTCCTCGCAGGTTCGGGCCTCATCCTCGTTGCCTGCGTGAGCGGCGCGCAGCTCTCCAACTACGCCTCCTTTTTAGTGGACAAGCAAATGGCGCCGCTTAGTATCGTCATGACCGCCCTCTCAACCGCCAGCGCAGCCTTGATTACCCCGACGCTAACCCACGCTATGCTCGGGCAGCGGTTACCGGTGGACGTGAAAGGGATGATGATTAGTATACTGCAGTGTGTGGTCGCGCCTGTGGCCGCCGGCCTGGCTCTGAACAGGTGAGTACGGAACTTGGAGATTGACATGGAAACGAAGGTTCGCCGTGCTTTCGAGTAGGCAAAAATGGTCGGAAAGGAAGAGTGTTCCAAAGGATGTCAAAATGAAAAGTAGGAGCGGCATTTGTACGGCGTACGTTGAGGATTTGGGCAGCGAGAGTCGACGGTGTCTTCTGATGAAAAATGTCCCGGTTCTTTTCTGTGATCAGCGGTTCTCCCGGTGTCAGGATCTAGGGCTTTGACGTGCTCCCGACGTTGTTGACATCACTCTTGACTTCGTCCGTACACTCTGGTGTTTCCTTCGTCAACTGATATGCCCGCCAGGGTGCACGCGCATTGCCAGTATTGTGCGGACGCCCTGTCAAAGCCAGCAAACATGCAGATATAAAATCAGAAGCATTTTCAGCCAGACCAAGACGGGAAACAACGAGAATAAACACAAGTCCTATCGCAAATCCTCCTTACATCGCCAAGCTCCCCAGACTGACGAGCTAGAGCGGCAATCTCGTTTACTGTCCGGAAGCTCTGAGTGACGGTCATTTCGCTACTTTTACCTTCCTCAGATTCGCCCGTTCTGTCACCTCTGCGATCCGCCCCGTCCTCCCACTCCTCTCGTTGCTCGACACGTGTTGCTGCATTGGCAGCCCGCTCGCGCTCAACGCCGGCGCGCTCCGGTCGCCGTTTGGGCTTGTCATTCTTCTTCCCGTCCTAGCTTTTCACACGGTGGCCTTTATTGGCGGGTACTATTCCGCCGTCGGCGCGTTTCCGCGGATAGAGGACCGGCGGAACGTCGCCCGAACCATGTCCTTTGAAGTCGGTAAGTCTAGCTGGCGGACTGTCACTGAACTCCGGCGCAGTTGCGTCTTTGAAATGGGCCGGGGTTTTTTAAGTATACCGACTGGATTACGAAGCCACAAGCTCTGAAAAACGTTGTGACGTCAGCCATCAAAAGTTCTGCAACAGCTGAACTCTACAAGAGGGGCGGTTAACCTTTTCCTTTCTGGTAGGAAGTCCCTGGTCGACGTCAAGTGACAAAGTCCAGGCTCACCAGCAAACCTTGCCAAAGCCGTGGTTTTGTGATGACTGCTTTCCTAGTTTCCAGTTGTCCTAGCAAAACGATTCTCTCTAGGACAGCGTAGGGAGTATCAGCTTCTTGAGTGACGGGAATAGCGGTATCGAGAGGCGTCTGCTTGTTCATCTTGGGCGGCTGATCAACGATTTTTCCGCACAGCAATTAGCAGTTGTGCAGCTTTTGACTACATTGTTAGTGTCAAGCTGATACCGGGTTCCACCCGTGCTGACGTCAACTGGGCCGCGTGAGCTGCTCCCGCCTTAGATACGTGTGAGGAGAGTACGAATCTGTTAATCGTGCGAGACGACGTCAGCAGACTTTGCAAGGCCAAGCAGAGCATGCCTCGAAAGGGTGACTTCAGCAGAGACCTCAGCAAGGACCGCCTTTGAATTTGATTGTTGCAGCTGCGAGACCGATTTAATAAGTCCTTCGCATTTTTCATCCCAGGCATGCAGAGTAGTCTCCTCGCTTTGGCGTTGGCCAACCGGTTCTTCCCGAACCCCCTCGTCGCACTGCCGTGCGCCATCTCGGTAAGCGGTCGCCGATCTCGGGCTTTCGAATCACCGAGTTGCTCATTAAAAAGGCCGAAAACTCCCATCACATACCTTACGAGCAAAGTGTCACAGAGGGCGTTATGGCTTTGCATGTTACCTCTGGTAGAGAGACGGTTTTTCGTATCTCGGTCTTGGAAGCGAAGAATCCGACACAGACCGAGTGTTCAGACAAAAACCGTCTGTAAGTGAGTTCGGAAGGGACGTTTCATCGACCTTATGGCCGGTCTGAGACTCACTCTGGGTCTCTTTGCGCAACACGCGTTGACACTGTCTTTGTACGTACTCAGGTGATTGCGATGTCTTTGATGGGATTCGGACTGGTGGTTGTGTGGACACATCCCCGAAAGCACACCAACTCGCACTGAAGTACCGCGCTAGAGGCACATACTCTTCTTGATGTTTAGAGCCGCTGTTTCGAAAAGTAGTGAAGCCAGTGACCTGATGAGTTTGGATTGCTTCAAAAGTGGAACAGGTCGAACTAGGTCACGGTCTGAAGTTAATCAAGAAAACAAGGCACACTTCAGGCAAAGAATTCAGATGATCCTATAGAACGGTCCGATACCAAGGCAGCTGGGCACAAAATACAGGCCTTCTGATCGGAGATAGTGTAAATAACAGTGCAATTACTGAGCTAATGTATCGGATTATGGGTAACAAACATATGGTTATAACTGCTTGCCTCCAAAAGCGCTTGAGAGGTAATGGCTTAAGGCATGCGACTTTCAGTTTTAATGACGCAGTATTTTGATATTCCAACGGCGGGTAACAAGCAGTTTGAACGCACCGAACGCGAATAGACGGGGCCGCCGCGCGCTCCAGAGTTGACTCAGCCGCAAAACTGCCGGGTGCCAGCCTAGTGCTTCGTAGGCGGCCTGGCCCGCGCGCACTACGCTGCCAGCTAATGTGCTGATCACCAATTATTTCGGTACGCATGCCGATATGAGCTTCGATCGCGATGTACAGTGTGAATTTAGCTAGTGTTGCCGATTGATGTTCAGTCACATTACCTGGCGCATTGGCTGGCATATTGCTACCGTCGATATGCAATTCTATGGTACCTTTTGAGGTTTGATGCTGTCGGAAATCGAGTCCCATGCCGACGTTCGCAGCGACTGATCGAGCTATACTGCGCATGATCATGGCCAGTTGTTGGCTAGATTTTCTCGCGTTCCGACATGAACCACATGCAGATTCTTGACTCAAGCTCATCATGGCATCTGGAAGATCAACGATCGTGTGCGGCCCGCTTTTGATATGTACCATATCGAGTCATTCCGGATGAACTTGAATCATTCAGTCCGACATGGTTCATTGTAAAGATATTACAGGCTCATGCCACTGAGATGCAACTATAGCTGGCATGCGTATACGATGAAATTCAAGTTGACTGCGCGTAATCAATTGCACAGCTCAGCTGCGGCCACGGCTGGCCGGCCGTCAGTGTAGAGCTACTGATTGCCGCCCGCGTAGCTAGTATAGAGGGGTGTCAGCCATGTGCCAGGCGGCGGCGAGCAGCATACCGCTAGCCAGGGAGAAGCATGGCACTGACTGACAATTGACCCTGGCTTGGGCATCAGCTTGTCGTACTGATCGTGAGTAGTCGGGTGTGACCTACACGGACATTGCAAGGAGCGTTGGGCGCATCATGGCATGCCAGGCAGGGACGGTCAGGAAATTAAATCAAGTCATCATTATGGATGGCGGCAAAACTTCTACATAGCTATTATCCGACAAAGACTTCCATCTGTAGGTGGCAGCCGCAAACATGAAAGGGGACCATTGCGTGTAGCGGATTGACCCCTGCATAACGTTTTTGACGCGTGCCCTAGGGGCCGTCTATTTGACTTCACATGTCTTGATTGCTATTCTTCGAACTCCATTCAACTAGTTAAAACCGCATACTCTTCTAATCACCGATCTATTGAAGCCCCCTGTTGCAGGTTTTCTAACCTTTCAATTCTGGCCTTGCTCGTCTCAAGGTCCTCCTTCGACTTGTCAGACTGCCTTTGCAGAACCTCAACACTCCGCTTCAGTTGCTCTACTTCTTCCTCAATCGCGTCATCCGTCACTGTGAAAACACCGTGCGCTACTCTAATCAGCCGCCAAAGATTCAGGATCACCAGCAACGCAAGCACTTCGCTGTCCAGAAAGATCTCTAGAAACAAGGCGGTCGGGATGATCGCAAGGTCTAGCACATACCCGGGGTGTCGGAAAAAGTTGAAACCGAAGGCGACGAGTAGAAGAAGTAGGTTCAAGCACAAGAGGCCCAGGATTCCTGTGCTGGTGAAGAAGAGCGGCTCGTGCTCCGTACTGTGGGGCTCCCAAGGTGTCGGCTGAGAGCACTCCTCCAGAAGCAATCTGCACTCCTTGACGTCATTTGCTTTTGTATGGAGCGTCAGCACTATGTCCACCGACGTTGCCACCACATCGACCAGGATCAGAACTAGGATGGTCAAATGCGCAAAGTCCGACTCCAAGGCTTTCCCCAACTTGTGCCGCCAGCTCTGTCGGTCTTGGATGCGTGGGTGCAGGTCGTGCGGCCTCAAGAAGTCTGGCCAACGAGACCCCTGTCCCTGCTTCCCCTTGCTCGACAGGTTATCTATGGCAGCGTGCACAGCTCTCCAATGATGGTTGGGGTGGCCAACGTCGATGGCGGTGTCGCGAGCTGACGGTCTTTCGGAGCTGACCCCAAGTCCAGACGCGGTTGGCTGTGTTCCGGGGGCTGATGAGTGAGGAGGCTCCATCTGCAGAGCAGAGAGAGAGCAAGTGGTTAGGGAACTCTGCAGAGTAAGCAAGGGCAGCCAAGTGCTTTCCAACAAATCTTTCAAGCCCTTGCCACCCTTGACCGAGTCTGGTAAAGGGGTGGGGAAAGTGCAAACTCGAATGAGCTTGCATACAGGGAGTGCTGGGCAACATAAGGAAAGGAACGCTTTCCATTACGGCAAGAAGGGTGGTATGTAACAGCAGCAGGACGGGCAGTTTCCGGCGCTAAAGGCCGGCAACCGAGCTGAGCACTAAGGACAACGGGTGTAGTCAAGCTGCCTTTGTGAAGAAGAAAGAGCGGATCACAGCTATACCAACAGTGTATCTGCTCAAAGCGAGACCTTTCCGTTGCAGCTTGCAACTCCAACGCCAAAATGACGGACACCATCGCAGCCTGCAAGCCAAGTAACCATGAGGGGCAATCAATAGTCGGCAGCCCTTTGATCATGATGGCTTCGACTAAGGTGCTAAGAGTTGCCCTGACTGTGGAAGACTGACGCCGCATTCCTCGAAGTTCTTGCTCACCTGAGTTCTTGGTGGTCGCAGAAAGGGCTCCTGCATGCTCCAGTTGCCAAACCTTGTCTGTCACTGTTCAAAGCTTTGGCAACTTTCCCCTGGTTGGTTGTGACTGTCAAGCTGCAAGGTTGCCGGAAGACAGCAGCGAAAGCATTTACCAGTCCATTGCTGAACTGCTGGCTTACAGCCCTCTAAACTTTCCCTCCAATGCCATCAACCAGTTCCAAAGCTTGCGCTGCAATGTCTACTTAGGCCTGAACGACGCACGCACGGTGTAGCCACTTCAAAAGTGAGCCTGACATCACTGTATTGCAGCCGCCGCCACAAGAAAACAAGAGCTCTTCTGAATGGGGGGAGCAAGCAAGCGAGCTTGAACTTGAAAGTTCAAGTTGAAGTTGAAGCAGAGCTGCCGTGCCGCTGCGCGGCCGCGCGACGAAAGCGAATCTGCGGCCGCGGCGCCGAGCCGCGGCAAAGTTGGGAGCAGCCCGGCGGCCGCGAATGGATGTGGGGTGGATGAACGAGACCCTACTTA